GAACCATGCATGGGCCATTTAATCCATTCACTACTGCACAGTCCTACAATCTAATAAACTCTTCAAGGCCCCACCTTTCAGCTACCATAATAGGATTTCCCACTCTCAACAGTTACAGTGGGGATTAAGCTTTGGGGGGACATTCAACCCAAGACAGTGTTATTAAGAAAGTTTCCACAAAACCAAAGGGGAGTCCTTGATTCAAAGCTGCCCATTAGAGGAGTCCTGTGTCCCCAAGGAACAGGCATACCTTACTAGGGCCTCCTTTGTGAATCATAGATGGGTTTCACAGCTGCTGTCCTGAAGTCAGAGGTCTGAGCAGTTTGGGTCACATTCATGGCCACCACGTTCCAGCCCCAGCTCTTCTGTGGATCCTGCGAGCCTGTCTTTCTAAGGGGAAACTGTAAAGCTCACTAGTGGAGCAAACTGCTGCCCCTCCCCCCTGCCCATTGCTGCAGTTATCTTGGGGCCATAACAGGTATTCATCTTTTCCCCCCTCCATTATCCTTTCTAAATTATCCACACCCTTGACTAATACCTTGGCAGGTCGTGGTGGGTTACCTAGGGGTGTGACCTAACCCTCCAGTTCTGAGGGCTCCAAACTCTGGGTTATCATATCCAATGGATCACGGGATTCCACATGTATTTCCCCCTGTTCCCACTCTGTAAAGCAGCACTGCCTCCTTCTGCTGACCAGGGTCAGTTACTGCTGCCAGGACGGTAACTCCTCTTGCCTGCTCAACCCAGACACATGAAGTCCAAAGCTTCCTGGCAGTGGCTATAGCATAAATTTACTGGGACCCTTGCTGTGTCCCCTAGCAAGAGTGTACTCCCTTTTGGGATCAGGACTTCCCACCCTGCAGAGCTGAGGTGGGGAGTGGAGTGGTGGGGTGGACTTGATTACCCACAATGCGTGCTGGCAAACCTTTACTACCGTTGAGGAATCAGGGAAAGTTTCTGCAGAAGGTGACCTCGAACTGGGAAACTTGATAACCATGGCTGGTAGCATTTCAAGGCCAGATTCTACCCCTGCTTCTCTTTAGGCCTCAGTTTCCTTATCTGTAAAAAAAAGAAAGTGTTCTCTAAGCTGTAATGTTCTGGGGCTCAGGAGGACATTCCCTTCCTGTCTCTCCAATCGCCCTCTACTGTGTGCCAGTAACTCAAACATCTCCATTGGTTTGTTAGGGGCACTAAGACCTCACTTAGAGAGGATTAGAACAAAGTTAGGGCAAAATTTGAAACTTCTGTACATTGGCAGGACAAGGAGGGATGGAGAAGAAGGGTAGCATAGGGGCCAAGGGAGAACTTCCCATTTAAGCCCCTGAAAGTGCACTGAAATCAACTGAGAAACACAGATTAATAGAAAAATGAGGCATAACAATTTTATTATTTTAACATGGTCTGGGGTAACGCATGGGGGAATCACAAGAGAGTAATTGCCCAATAACCCAGTGGGGTGCAGAAGCTTATACACCGTTCTTCATAGAGCAAGGGGAGATGGGCAGTGCAGACAGCTCTTTTGAGGGACAGCAAATGGTTGAATGAGATTTGAATGAGCCTATGAAAAGGTCTGTCCAGGTGTGGTGCCCTCCCAGTCTCTCCAGTTCCTCCGGGGATTGTTCTTTCCAGGTTATTTGATGAGATGCCTAGGGATGGGATCTTAAGATAAGTGCAGTTTTTTGAAAATAAGCTTTCTTAGTCAGATAAGGAAATTCCAGTGAAAGTCCCTCCCTGGAGATGACAAGGCAAGAGTAGATGGATCTTGATTCTGTGGCTTATTTCTGAGGTCTTTTAATTTTCAAAGCTCTCAGCATGCCAGAGTGTCATATGTGGGGGAATAGTTTTCTGCATTGCAACAATAGACATAGCAGAGTTGTCTTGGAGGAGACCTTGTTTGGATACCTCTTCCTCAACAAAGAAGAGGGGAAAGATGTTCTAGACAGAGGAAACCAAGGAAACCAAAGCATGGAGGTATGAGAAAGTAGATGTTCTAGAACAGTGTGGCTAAAGTCAAGGCTGAATGGAGAAGAGAGGTCCTCAATAGGGGATTGGTAAGCGAGCTCCAAATGCTGGCTGTTGAGGAGAATTGAACCCTTGACCTTGGTGTTACAAGGCTGTGCTCTAACCAACTGAGAATGGGCCAGCTTCTCCAAGTGTTTTGAATGCCAGGATAAGGAGGTCAGACTTTACCCTGGAGGTAAGAGAGAGTCCTCGGCTATTTTATGTAAGGGAGCAACCCAATCCAGCTTGTATTTCACAGAGCTCATGGTCACAAACGACCTGGATTCTAGAAAAAAAATGCCTAGATAGGGACAGGAAGGAGACAAGTTAGGAACTGAAGCAATATTCTCAATAGCAGAGGTTGCAAACTGATAGCCCATTGGCTGGATTTGTCCCCAGAGTATTTGGCCCATCTAATATTTTTGAATTTTGGAATTAGTTTCAAGCATTTAAAAGTTGGAAGATTTTATGTTAGAATATGGATTTCCTGGGCCGGCCAGGTGGTGCACTGGAGAGTGCGCCGCCGGCGCTCCCGCCGAAGGTTCGGATCCCATGTGGAGACCGGTTCCCGCTCACTGGCTGAGCGCGGTGCGAGCGCAACACCGAGGGTTGCGATCCCGTTGCCAGTCAGTAAAAAAAAGACAAAAAGGGAAAAAAAAAAAGAATATGGATTTCCTGCTTCTCTTGAAATATCAGGCTTGGGTCGGCCCCTGGCTCACTTGGGAGAGTGTTGTGCTGATAACACCAAGGCCATGGGTTTGGATCCCTATATAGGGATGGCCGGTTAGCTCACTTGGGAAAGCGTGGTGCTGACAACACCAAGTCAAGGGTTAAGATACCTTTACCGGTCATCTTTTAAAAAGAGAAAGAAAGAAATGTCATCAGGCCACACACGGCCCGTGATGCCTCTTTTTGCCTCCTTCCACCATTCCCTGTCACCTTAGACCTGACCCCAGTCACTAATTTGTGTGATCTATAGGTACTTGAGTTTGCAATCCCCAGCTCTAAAATCTCTAGAAACAGAGTGGTCGGGAAGAGTATGCTGGGTTGAGGAAACAGCCTGATCAAAGACTTAGAAGAAATAGGGAAGGTGCCAGGTGTGTTGGGGACTTTCTCATTACGGAAAGAGTATCCTGCAAGGATGAGGCTGAGAGAGAGAGATAGGGCCTGAAAGGATGAGCGGTCCCTATCTCATCTCTGTCCTCATCCAAGCCACCAATTTCCGGTTATCAAACAGACAATGCTCTTTCATACCCAGGTCCTTTCCACATGCTGCTAACTCTGTCTTCAGTCTCCTTTCTTCCTTTCTATCTGGCGAGCAAGGTGCACCCCATCTGCGTTCCTTAACTAGTCACTGCCCGTTTACAGCAGGGGTCGCAAACGCGAGCAGAGCTAGACATGACCTCTGGGGCCCCTCTTTACGACCTCTTCCCCGAAGTAGACTGTTAGTTCTTTTTTTTTTTTAAAGATGACCGGTAAGGGGATCTTAACCCTTGACTTGCTGTTGTCAGCACCACGCTCAGCCAGTGAGCGAACTGGCCATCCCTATATGGGATCCGAACCCGGGGCCTTGGTGTTATCAGCACCGCACTCTCCCGAGTGAGCCACGGGCGGGCCCAGACTGTTAGTTCTGAGGACTCGCTCGACATAGGACGGATGAATGGATGGATGGATGGATGGGCGGGCAGACAGGTGGACGGACGGATGAATGAATGGATGAATGCATATCCGATTGCAGAGCTTGGATTCGTTTTCCCTCCTTCCGACAGACGTAGTCTCCGCCCCTCAAGCACAGACTGGGACAGTCTGGGGCAGTCTGGTTCCTCAGGGGCTAGGAAGCTGGACCAGGTGACCCTCTCAGACTCCCCCGAGTCCTCTCTAACCTCGTTCTCGCCCCCTCGTGGGCTCTGACCTAGAAAAGACGGGGGTGGGAGGATAGAGAGGAAGCCCACGGGCGCTAGGACCCAGAGCGGCCGGAAGGCGGGTGGGGTCGCCGCGAGCCGCTCCCTGCGAGCTGGGGGAATCTGCGCCCCGCGGCGCGCGGCGGGCGGACGCAGCGGGCGGGAGA